CTCCATTCCGGCCAACCTCTGCTCCAGGCCCTCCATACTTACACTCGGGATATGGTGCTCTGATACCAGATTGTTACCTTCTTCCCCTCTCGGACGAGAAGAGGCTATAGTGAAAAGAACTCACCGCTCTAGAGGATTATGCAAGAAAACAATCAATTATTATCTTCAAGTTGGTTATAACAACTCTACCACGATGGATCACAGATTCTCTCTCTCTCTCTCACGCGTTTTATAACAATTTCATACAAAGTAGAACAATATGGAGAAGCTAGTGATCGACTGACGTGCATGTCTTGCATGTGTCACTCCCTTCGAATGATGGGTTCCTTGTGCATGGGCCTGTTAAGACCCCCATCTGTCTCTTCAACAAAAGTGGGCTGGGCCATATATATATGTATCACGAACGAGAAGTTTTTGGCACCATCTAATGCCCCCATTTTCTTTCTCATATTTCTATATTTGTTGAGGAAAGCTTTGAATTGAAGATGCAAAAGAAACCCTTATTTCAAATATGTTAAAAATAGAATGGAAGGACGTTTGAAACGTCCATTAAGATCAATGTGTAGGAGAGTCGGACTCCATTTCGCAATTGTAGTTGAGACAAAGGTAGCAAGAAAAATGAAGAATAGAGCTATCTGGAATGACGATTACAGCAACAATAGTGAAACTACTAGATGGGTTTCAATCTTCAAAGGGTATGAATCAAACGTTTGGAGATTGTATGCGACGAAACCACTGGTCTAAGAACAAGTGAGTGGCATGAAAAGAGTACAGTAATCTTGAGATAAGTTAGTAAGCTCCGCAACTTCAATTTGAGAATCAGAAGATCAACTATCTAATTCTCGGAGATCAAATAAGAAATTGCCAAGTTGTGAATGCCAAAGACAAAAGGAAGATTGTTTAGGGAAAGTGTAGAGGAGGAAAGCAAGGATAAGGATGTTGATGAGACGATCAGGCACAAATAATGTGCAAATGACTATGAATAAATTCAACTGAGCATCCCATTTCTCATTAGATGTTATGTGCCTTGGGGGAATTCATCCCTAAAAGCTAGATGTTATGTCCCACAACAACATCCCACACTATCAACGTGGGACAAATGGATCGCAACATTCCATCATGCTCCGCATTCATCTATTCTTGGCCGAACATTGCAATACCAACGTCGCCACCTGTGCTGTACAATTGCAACTGGGAGGCATGGTGTAGGCTCTTATTAGGGACGGAGCCAGGGGGACCCAGGGGAGCCATGGCCCCCTCTATGGTTCAGAAAATCTCCACTTCCTATGTAAAATTTCCCCTCCCCCCCACTCTCTACATCAATGGTTGGCCCCCTTATGAGTCCATCCATACTTCATTTTGGTTTTGGCTCCCCTTATAAAAATTTCCTAACTCCACCTCTGGCTCTAATACCATTTGATGTGTGCCTTACAAGAACTCACCCCTAAAAACTAGTTGTTAAGAGGGAGGGAACACAGGCACATATATACCATACAACAGTATCCCATATTACCGATGTGGGATATCTCACATTAGCATCCCATGCTACCAACGTGGGACAAATGGATCGTAGCATTAGACTAGAATGGTTTGACGGGTATGGTTGTAGATACTAGCTACTAGGTAGTGCTTCTTCGTTAGTAGGAATAAGGGAAATGGAGAGATGTTGCTTGATTGAGGGCAAATATGGTATTTTATGATATCTTTGACTCTTAGGGGTAATTTCATAAATATATATGTTTTTCGTCTGGATCAATGACACAAGGGGGGGTTTTGTCAAGTTTCTCAAAAGTCCAGGGGAGGTATTTGTTACAATGAAACTTTAGGAGCGGTTTTTGTATTAGAGTCAAAAGGGAGGTTGAAAGAGATTTAAGAGGGAAGTAGGTGAGAAAGAGAGAGCGAATAGTGTGTTCTTAAGATCGGACCAATCTCGATACAAGGTTTTTATTATACATAGAATTTGTATTAATGTTAAAGTTGTTTTTTAGTTTTCTTTACAATTGTTAAATTCTTCCACCACTACTCACTCAATTTTCATTGTATGGATATGTGTAAAATGAGCGTTGCGCCATCATATGATGGGCTTTATTAGAGGTAAGAGCTTTGGTGTAGATCGATTGATTGTTTATGCTAATAGTTTGTTAATTTTATCTTATATTTATATATAATATAACGAATATATTCTAGTTTTATCTCTGATAATTGCATTAGCTCTGGTTAGGGGCCAGATAGTTTCGCAGAAATAGGGGTTTGGAATCAGAATCAAAATGGACCAACTGTTTGGCTGGGCAGAATTGGAATCCCATTTCCATTCCTGATATAATGACATTCCCCAATTGAGGAAATGGTCATTTCTCATTCCCTCCCCACCCCTTAGAAATAAAATCCCATTTCAGCTATAGAGGTAGTGGCCGTTCCAATTCTAGGAGATTTTGATTTCGATTCTGACTACAAATCAAATGGACCCTTATATGATTTTGGTTTTAAAACATCTAGCATTTTTTTTCTAAACACATAGTGTGTTTTTTGTATTTCATATTATTTTTTCTTCATATTCCCCAAATGTTTTGTCGATAATAATAAATTAAACTCCATATAAGGAGTACTTTTAAAAATGTACAGTCCCCAAGTGCTCAAGTCTAATGGAAGCCAAATCAGGAAAGTCATATAACTATGCAAAAGAAGAGCATATTTTTAGATAGAAATAGAGACGAATTGTTGAAAAACTGAAGTTGTTGATGTCTGTCAAAGTGTCAAAGCGAAGCTTCAGGAATCTATCGTGGTAATTGAGACTGCTATAAACTACTAACTTAATTTGTTCTTCTATTTGATGTTGGCTATATATTGATGATTCTGATTAGAACTGCTCATGGGCTGGGTAGCCCGACAGGCCAGTCTGTCCCTGCCCGGTTCGATCTAAGTTGGGCTTGGATAGGATTTTAGGCCTGCAGGTTCGGGCTCAGGCCTAAAATATTGGGTATAAACTTTTTCAGGCAGGGTTCAGGTTTTTTCAAAAAAGCCTGGCCTGAGCCCGAGCCCAACTTGATAATGTATTATATAATAAAAATATATAATATATTTTTCAAATAATAGTGAGATCTTTCATTATTTCTGGCTGGACTTGAGCTCGGATTTGGGCCTAAATATATTTTGTTAATGTAGAAGCAAAGCCCGGCCCGGCCTGTGAGCAGGTCTAATTCTGATTAATGTTATTCTTTATTGTTGTGTAATTACTGACAAAAGTCGCAGAATAAAGTGATGTGGAAAATAATGGTAACAATCTATATACAGGATTGTCCCCTCGTATCACAGAAAAAGAACTTGAAAAGAATTTTCCAAGTGTAGGATCAATGGTATGCTTTCTTGTGCGTCTACTAGGAATTGCGGAAAGTTTTTACATTTGGTGTTTTGTCTATAAACCAGATTGTTGCCTGTTTATTTTGAACCCTTTCACATGAGTTTAATTATAATAGGTTTGGTTTCGTTTCTGTTCTAAATTTAGTTTCCTGGTTGAATTGTCATGTTAGTTTAACTGAAATTATTGGGTTTATATTTTTTATTTTTTTTATTTCCACTATCTTTGTAATTTCTGGAGACAGAGAAAATGGTACGAGAGAGTATGTGGGAGAGAGAGAGAGATGGAGGAGAGATAAATTCGAGATGAGAGAGAGGAGGAAAAATACAGAGAAAAAAGATAGACGAAAGGAGGGTGAATTGGTGAGAGACTAAAGAAAGGAGAGAGATGATATGGAAGATATAAAATTGGGGGAAGAGAGAGATTGGGGAGAAAACAATGAAGCTATAGAGCGTGGATAATTGAAGTTTAAAAGTCATCATAAGTCATCTATTGTTATTTAGATTCCGTTTGGTTTACAGTCAGAATCAGAATCAGAATGGTCTTTTTCCATAATCTGTTTGATTCAAACAAGAATGGGAATGAAAATTGGAATAAGCAAGAATGGGTTTTCATTCCCAAGGGAGGGGCAGGGAATGGCCATTCCCTCAAATGGGAGAATGTCATTCCAGCAGGAATGGGAATGGGATTCCGATTCCACTCAACTAAACCATTAGAATCAAAATAACCATTCCGATTCCGATTCCAAACCCCTATTCCCATGAATCAAACACGGCTTTAAATTCCATTACGAGTTCATAAGTCTGATCCACCTTCCATGCATCTTAAATATGTTAGTGGGCATGATTCAGGCTTTCATTACATGCAGTTCTTCTCGACTTGAAAGCTTATTGGAGTGTTATGGATTTGTTTCTTTCTTTCTTTTCTGTCTCCCTTTTTTCCCCATTTTGAATATCAGACTCCTTTATCGGTTGTTAATTAGTATACAACCGTGGTGGATCATCATGCTCTCATGATTCACTACGCTCTTCATAGGTTTTTCTCCTTTTTTTTAACATTTTTGCTTATCAATTGAATGGTAGCTGTGTCACTAAAAATGGAGTGGGGATGTTGGTTGTGGGAATTGGGTCATAGAGATTCAATCAGTTAACTACTTGATCTGTATCAGTAAGACTCATTAGAGAAAAATTGAGGGTGAAGAAACCAATGTTGCAATGCACACTGTCCATCATAGAAATCGATTTAATTATGTCAACTCAGGTTTGTCCTGCATTCAGTTGAGCTTTGCTATTTCTAGATCTCTAAAGTTCACAATCCACAACAATTACTCTTTTTTCTTTCATTTCTTTCCTCTTTAGAATTAGAAAAAATAATACCTTTTCAATTTGCAAAACCATAATATGAACATTATATTTGTACTCTAGCTCTCAAGGACATCTATGGGAGAGGATTAGTTGTCTTTTATCATATAAATGTTTATGAAGATTATTATACTAATTTTCCACAAAACGAGGACGGAAAAAAATTGCATCCATGATCCAACTACCAAGAATTCTCTCTTTCTATTTTTATTTCTTTTTTTCCTTTCTATTCTTGCTGATGGAATGAGCACACTTTCTGCTTCTGGTTCGCCTTTGGCACAAACTTGAAATTATTGACCAACATCTCACCAACATGGTAAAATAATTGTTATTCATACTATTGTTCTGACAATGACAGATTCCCTTCTATTGACAAAGTTAGAGGCAAAATCTTCCAAATTTGCACCTTATTTGCAACAGTTTGTGAAGAACATATTCCACCTCTCTTCACATTTTAGTTCCCATATGGTTATGGAGTAATAGAAACCCAATGCACAAGCAACAACATAGGGAACAATTAGACTGAAATTCCATAGTTACTAATTTTTGAGACCTCTTTGGTCAGAGCATTTCTCTCTCGCTTTGCCTCAGAAGCAAGGCTAGACACCTGCAAAACAAGTAAAAAAAAAAACATAATTAATCTCATTGCAGAAAAGGGGATGGGGGAGAAGAAACTAAAAGATATTATAAAAGGCATGGTAATTATGTCACTCAAGTTTGACAGACATCTGGAGATGATTGCTAATGCAGGATATTTCTTGATACAGTAGAGTATTTCTTTTTGGTATAACAGTAGAGTATATCTGGGTAAACATATTTTTATCTATACTGTTAAGCATTTATTTGTGAAAGAGGGAATACATAAAGTACAGTAGAAAAATATACTCCCTCGAAGAAGAAACACTGAGTTACATGGCTCAACCATCCATGATAACATAGACACATATACATGGGCCACAGCCTACCCTAGAAGTAGGGCTGTCAATGGAACAATTCTACTCGACTGCCCGAATTGATTATGCCGGGTTCTGGTTTCATTATTTTGTCCCAATTAATAATCCAATCGGTTCTGCTTCTTGCTTGTCCTGAACCGATTATTTTATTAAATATATATAATGCTTTCCTAATTTTATTATATTTCATGTCTTAAATGGTAAATTTGATAGATAATATATGTGAAAATATTAGTTAAAAATGTTTATGTTATTAACATATAAACAATTTAGTATTTTACTATCATTTTTATTAAGATTATATTATCAGAACTTATTATCAAAATGTTTATTTTATTAACATTAAGTTATTATTTAAATAAATAAATATAGTTTCCAGAATAATCGGGTCTATCGGGTAGACCCAATAGGACCCAGCTATTAATCAGGATGGCTCTGGGTCCGTTCTTTTGTCCCGATTAATAATCGGTTCAGGACTGGTTCTACCTAGAACCAACCCAGACCCGACCCATTGACAGCCCTACCTACAAGGGAAAGCCCCAATACAAAAATACCTAATTTGCCCCATTTCTTGCAAGAGAATCTACTTGCTCATTGCTGATCTTCTAACAACTTCAAACCACCTGAACAAGGTGCTCATTCTAACAACCCAAAGATCTGACTCCCTAACTAGATTTTACCTTGCCACAATTCCCAAGCCAACCCACCACATTTCACTCTTCTTGTTCAGATGCCTACTTGATATGGGATCATCAAAACATTTGGTTAATCAGCAATTACCAGGATAAAGAATGATCTCGGTGTTGAGTTTGTTGACACAGCAAGAGGAGGGCCTTTGATTTGTCTGTCTTAAGAACACCAGAGTTTCCAATCGCCAAACAGTAGACACTCCAAGTGAATAACTTTATTTAAATAATTACCAATGCCCATGACATTCCTCTCACATCCAGCTGATAACAGCAGTGACTCACACTCAACAAATCCAAAAAACAATATCCACCCAATCTGAGGCCTTCTACTCTTACTACACTCCCAACTGTTTTTACTTTGTTTTTCTATCAATTATCTCTAAATCCAGAAGTACCACATTAATAGCTTTCCAAGGGGAAGCTGAAGAAGAATGTGAGGAGACCTTTGCATCTCAGCCATTGTCCAAATCACTATGAATACTTACTATGACTTTGAGTCATAGCCTCTTCCTTTCTAAAGGCAGTCACCATAACCACTTCCCAAGTAGAGTAGTGTTTCTAGGAACCAAATTCCCCATCCCCAATCCTCCTTGTTTCTTAAATCTACAAACCAACTCCCACTTAACCAGATGGTCCTTTCTATCCTCCCCCAACTTCCACAAAAAATTCCTCATACATTTCTCTAATTTTCTTGCCAGTTCTGTCAGGATATGAAAAGTAGACAAAAAATTAGATGAGAAAATTAGGCACTTTTTTAAAAAAGGTGAAATAAAGATATTATTAATATGGAAACATCATAGTACAACAAGATCCTGGGGGAAAGACAAACCACCCAGGAAGAAAGGCAGATTACAACTCCCACAAAGAAGATGAACTAAGCAACAGAGGAACATTCTTCTGCCTGGACTCTTTAACAACCGAGACCCAAGAAATCACCAAGTTTGGATCTCCTACCCACATAACACTACAGCTGTACACTGAGAATAGCTTCCATATTTGCATGTTACTATTCATGGGGAGATGTTCCTAGTGCGCAGCTGTAGTGTCATCTGAATTTGAAATCGCCCTACTAACAGCAAACTGAATAAGCTCATCCAAGTTTTTCTTCTTGTTGCAGAAAACTCAGTCATTTTTCTCGGCCCAAATAGTCTCCAGAACTGCTGCAGGAACATAATTCCAGACACATCTTCCCTTTAATGCTCAGACCCGGCAACTTCCAGCCCCACAGAAGAGCTCTAACTGAGAGAGGCATAACCCAGCATAAACCAACAGCTTTGAGGAAATGTTCTCAAATTTTAGATAAGACAATACAGTGGATGCTAAGGCAATCAAGCACCTATCCAGCACCAAAGCCCAGACCAGAAAGTTTAATTTGGAGGGACTAGTAGGGTTCCAGATCTGCTTGACAGCGATAAAGGTACCATTACTGTCACACAATTTAGCAGGCAATGATTTCACAGAGAAAAGACCACCCCCACACCAGTTCCACCTCCACTTTTCCTTAGTTCACATCTGCAGCCTAATCATTTAGAAGATGAAGAAGCAGATCTCCACTTAGCCATTGTGGATTTGATTAGAATGATCCTTCCTCCCAAAGAGAGGTAAATTTCTCTTCCACAAAGCCCTCTTTTTTTTGGCAAACCTCTCCAACACTAGTTTCCGTAACCCTTCTAATTTTGGATTTCCACCTAATAAAAGCCCAAGGTACTGCAAGGTGCCAGCCAGCTGGTTGGTAAGGTCTCCTGGTGGTCGTAGCGGAGACTTGGGATCAAATCCCGCCTGCACCTGGGATGGGGGGTATGGGTTGGGGGATGGGCTATATGTCTGCATAAGAGTTTAATTCATCATCTTCCATACTGATCCCTGCCACACAATTCTTCCCCATGTTGACTCTCAGATGGAGGATCACTTAAAGAGATAAACAAGTTCTCTGAGATTTAGGAAGTCAAAGAATAAGGGAGTGGTTTGCAAATTGGATTTGGAGAAGGCTTTTGACTTGGTTGATTGGTCTTTCTTGATGGAGGTGTTGAGGAGTTTTGGTTTTGGTGACARGTGGTGYAAGTRGATCTGGGGCTGTGTTAGGACTTGCCATTATTCTATCCTGGTGAACGGGACTGTGGTTGACTTCTTTCCGGC